TGTCCAGTGAATGGCGGGTCTTTGCCTTGCTCCTTGTTCTCATCGTCGTACATACCGTCGATGTCTTCGGAGCCATAGTCAAGCACATCGGTTAAGTCGTCGACGGTGGCTATGAAGTGGGTGGCGGGTGGGGAGCAAAATTCCTCATCATCCATCTCTAGCTCGAAGCGCACATAGTTCGGCTGTGAGTCCTTCTCCAAGGACAAATTCTTTAAAGATTTTAGCACGTCACCCCAAGGCGAGTGTTGGAAAACATCAGCGGCGCTGAACTCGAAGATCGATAACCGATCTAGCTAGCTCGGTGTCCGCGGGCGTACACAGTCCGGAACTTATAACTGGAGATGAGTCCGAAGTTCCATTAAAGCGAATGTTGCAGGTCGTCGAGTCCATGTGTGGCTCCAACGCCGCGGACTCTGAGGCCTTGGATTGCTCGGCCTGCTTCGGCTCTAAGGTCGTTGCAGCCGCATGAACCATCTCCTGGGTGTGATCCGATGATAGATTTAAGTCACGTTCATCGGGATGAGGGGGAGCGATTGCCGCGGGCTTGAATCCCTCGAAGATCAAGTCTCCGCGGATATCCGTGACGTAGTTCAATCTTCCGAATCTGACCTGATGGCCAGGGGCGTGGCCGTCAATCTGCTCCAAATGGCCAAGCGAGTTGGCCCATAGTACGAAGCCACCGAATACGAAGATCTGTCCGGGGGAAAGTTCCTCCTTGGACAGCGTCATTATTGACGATTGAAGGGGCCATCGAACCTTTTGCCGACGGCACAGTGGAACTCTCAATGAAATCACCAATGTCGGTGTCAAAACTGGCGGATCTCGGGTAGGGGGTCCCGAACTGTGCGTCAAGGATCGATGTTAACAGGAGACCGGGGACACGATGTTTACCCAGGTTCGGGCCCTCTCTATGAAGGTAATACCCTACTTCCTGCTTGATTGATCTTGATGAATATGAGTATTACAAGAGTTCATCTACCATGAGATCGTAATGGCTAAACCCTAGAAGCCTAGCCTATGTGGGTATGGTAATGAGTATATGTGGTGTCCTTTCCGGACTATCCCCCTCGGCTTATATAGACACCGAGGGGATCTAGGGTTTACATGGAGTCAATTACATAAGAAGGAATCTTCGGTCACCAAGTTTGCCGTCCACGCCAAGTAGAGTCCAATCCGGACACGGTGCAGTCTTCGGCCTTCATGTCTTCACAGACATCAGTCCGGCCCAAAGGATAACAGGCCGGACGCCCGAGGACCCCTTAGTCCAGGACTCCCTCAGCAGCCCGTTCTCTTCACCCATCATTCTTGTGAAGAAGAAAGACGGCATCTGGCGCATCTGTGTCGATTACCAGCGCCTCAACGCTATAACAATTATCAACAAAATACCTGGTCCCGGTGATAGAGGACATACTGGACGAGCTAGTTGGAGCTCGCTGGTTTTCTACGCTTGATCTACGATCAGGTTACCATTAAATTCTCCTGGCAGAAGGAGAAGAATTCAAAACAGCATTTCAAACCCACTTTGGTCATTTTGAATTTAAGGTCGTTCCCTTTGGCTTGGGGGGGGGGGCACCAGCAACATTAATTCTTGGGCGCCATCCAGCTCACTCTACAACCAGTACACCAGGTGTGTGTAATGTCGTTTTTCGACGGCATCCTTGTTTTCAGTCGCACACTAGCTCTACACATCCAACATTTACGGCAGGTCTTGTCCCTCCTACGAAAAGATCAATGGTATGTCAAGCGATCCAAGTGTGTGTTAACCCAACAAGGAATCAAGTACCTGGGCCACACTATTTCTGCACAAGGGGTCTCCATCGACAACAACAAAGTTCAATAGGTGGTTGATTGGCCGGTGCCAGCGTGTGTCAAGGATGTTTGAGCTTTCCTCGGTCTGGTAGGCTACTACCGACATTTTGTCAGGCAGTTTGGCATGCTCGCTCAGCCCCTGACCACTTTGTTATGCAAGAACACACCTTCCCAATGGATAGCAGCCACCCAGTCTGCTTTTGAGGCACTCAAATTTGCCCTAGTGACGACACCCACTCTGGCTCTACCTGACTTCACTAAGCCATTCATAATTGAGACAGATGCTTGCGAATACGGAGTCGGTGATGTGCTCCAACAGGAAGGCCATCCCATCGCATACCTCGGCAAAGCGTTGGACCCCCACACAAAAGGGCTATCCAACTACAAAGAAGAATACCTGGTAATTGTCCTGGTTGTTGAGTAGTGGCGATCGTACCTGCAGTTTGGCGAGTTTTGATCAAAACTAACCAGTGCATCTTAGTGCATTTGGAAGAACAGCAGCTCCACACCCATTGGCAACAGAAAGCGTTTACCAAACTCTTGGGACTGTAGTACCGCATCTGCTACCGCAAAGGATTTGAAAATGTCGTCGCGGACGCTCTCTCTAGGCACACGGTATCTTCTTGTGAACAGCTCTACGCCATATCTGTGTGCCAACCCGTGTGGTTACAGGAGATCATCAGAGGTTATGACCAAGACCCAAAGACACAACAACTGGTCACCCAACTTGCCATTGCACCAGTGGTTGGGGGTAAGTTCACCTTGCACAAGGGCATTGTCCATTTCAGTGGTTGGGTCTAGCTGGGCAACAACACGCATCTCCAACAACAAATTATGCATGCCTTGCACGGTAGTGCTATGGGTGGTCATTCAGGCTTTCCGACCACATACAGGAGAATCAAGCATCTGTTCGCGTGGCCTGGAATGAAGCAACATATCTAGCAGCATGTTCACACTTGTCAAATCTGTCAACGAGCCAAAGCAGATCGTGTGCAGTATCCAGGGCTCCTCCACCCTTTGTCGATCACCAAACCTTGCTGGGACTTGGTGTCCATTGATTTCATCGGGGGTTTGCCTCCGTCCAGGCAGTTTAACTGCATCTTGGTGGTGGTTGACACCTTCTCTAAGTATGCCCACTTTATCCCAGTTAAGCACCCCTACACAACACAAGTGATAGCCTAGTTATACATTGATCAAGTCTACAAACTCCATGGCCTGCCTGAGGCTATCATATCCGACAGAGATGTAGTTTTTACCAGCAAGGTTTGGCAAGAGATCTTCAAATTGCAAGGCGTGAAACTGAAGATGAATTCATCACATCATCCGCAAACCGACGGACGGACTAAGCACATCTATCAATATCTTGAAACATACTTGCGCTGCTTTGTGCACAACACCCCCGCCAACTGGAGCAGATGGTTAGCTTTGGCCGAATTCTGGTACAACTCGACATACCACTCTACCCTCAACAGAACACCGTTCTCAGTGGTTTACGACCAAGAACCACGACACATGTGACTGCTCCCTGACCAAGCAACACCGATTCCTGAGCTGAATGAATGGCTAGAAGAACATCAGCAAATGCAGGACCTATTAAGGCAACATCTGGTTCGCGGCAAGCAGATTATGAAAAGTCAGGCAGATAAGATAAGGTCCCACCGGGAATTTCAGGTTGGTAACCAGGTATTCCTCAAATTACAACCATACATTCAGACTTCAGTCGCCCGCCGAGCCAACCATAAAACTCAGTTTCAAGTTCTTTGGACCATACCCGGTGATCCGACGGGTGAACAAGGTGACGTATGAGCTGAAGCTGCCTGAAGGGTCCTCAATCTTCCTAGTCTTCCACGTGTCGCAACTTCGCAAGGCCTTGACACCTGGTGCGAGTGCATCCTCATTTCTTCCATCGCTTTTTGATACTGTAAATGTTCGTATGGAGATCTTGGACAAACACTTGTGCCGCGGCTCGAACAAGATGTGGGAGCAAGGACTGATTCGCTCGCAAGACAACCACGCTACACAAGATACCTGGGAGGACCTTGAAAATCTCCGTCGTCGCTTTCTTACTGCTGCGACTTGGGGATAAGTCATATCTGAAGAAAGAGGGGTGTTAGCAACCACACTACACAAGGGCAGAGGGAAGGGAGAGCTACACCAGGCCGGCCCAAGAGAGAGAGGAGGCCATGCCACAAGTTCACTGGGCCCCAATCGGCCTCTTACATGTTCAGCCCAACCGAGCCCATGACTGGCTGATATAAGTAGGAGTGGTAGGTGGGTAAGGGCATCCCGGCTAGGATCAGGCATAGGTGGCGGCGAGTGCGCGTGTTCCTCTCTTTATCGAGCTATGCTCGCGATCCCCTTCTTCCCTTCTCCCAAGTTGTAATCGAATCAAGTCTGTAATCGCCATAGATAGAAGAGGAAGAACTAGTGAGTACCTCACAGATCTGGGCGGGTACAGGGAGGACTGGGAGCCCCAGCAGACGTTTGAGGGTATTCAACCCCTCCCCATCCGTAGATCCGTCTCGATTCTTTCATACGTGACATCGCTGGTATATGTCGTATGAATGTATTACAGCATCCAGCAAATAACATCTAAAAAGGGGATTAGTGCTTTATTAACACTGGAGCACCAATTCACCTAGTGTTGACTATCGAAGTTATACGGGCGAAAGTCAAAAGAAAAAAGAGTTATGCAGTCACGGTATTGCACATCACACACCTTCCATGGCGATATGTACCAAATCTATGATGAATACTGCTTAACGGCCCGCGTGTATCACACGCTCACTTTTAGTAGCCCTCATGAGCAGCACATGCACTGCAGTGTGAATCCTAGTAATGTACAGTTTGCTTCTCCAAAACACCACCGTTGTTGTCAATCTTCCCCCAAAAATTCTTTGCTGTTGTAGCATCACAGGTGCCCCGCCACGCAGCACTGTATCAGAAACGTGTGCAGAGGTGGTTATTAGTGCTTATCTTGTAGTACAAAGTCAGAACAGAAAGTGAAAAAAAAAAGACGGACGAGGGCTAGAATCATACAGCTATGAACAAACAAGTAAAACCCACAGCTGTAACGACAAGAACGTTCACTTTTAGTAGCGCAATGTGAATCCTGCTAATGTACAATTTGCTTCTCCAAAATACCACCAATGCTGTCAATCTTCTCCCGAAATTCCTTTGCTCCAGTAGCATTACAGGTCACCCGCTGCGCAGCACTGTGTCAGAAACGTGTGCAGGTTGTTAGTACTTATCTTGTACCAAGTCAGAATAGACAGTGAAAATAAATACGCATGAGGGATAGAATCATACAGCTATGAACAAGCAAATAAAACCCGCGGCTGTAAGGCCAAGAAAAGATTTCAACAGTATTGTCGCCTCAATCGCCTCAATCTCCAGTATCCAATGAGAGAACATGCCAACAAGAAAAGTCAGGCCTACATAAAAACACAACTGTCAAATCTTTCCCAGCATCCATTAATACTCACTCCATCAGAAATACAAGGCGCATAATTATTAATGCAGTCAACATTTTATAACTTTGACCCCTAATACATGTAAAAGTACATTAATTGAGAATACAAGAGTTAGATTGTCGTACTTCTCTTCAAAAAATCTTTTATCATATTGCAAATATATATTATAGTTGAACTCATGTATTGGAAGCTGTGAAAGATCCTATGCGCCTTACATTCCAGGATAGAGAGAGCATAATAACATGAGAAATATAATCTTCAAGGATAACATACCAAGTATTGCCAAGTGGCCGGACACACGGGCATACTGCTGCGCCATACAACCGCGACCATACAAACTGCAAGGCACGCCAAGAGCTACCAAGCCCCACCACAACTTGAATAGCAAATCCACCCGCCACAGATAATTACTTGAGAAAATTGTTTTATCCTTAAAAAGGCCATCTCTTCCCATGTAGGGGAGCAAACTGAGAGACATTGCAAGGGCGCATGTCTGCATGCCTAGCCACTTGTCACATAGCCTCCCCTGGCCCTATAAAAAACAGAGAAAATAATTCAGAATCAGAATACAGAACTTAAAAATATCAGCAGTAGTAACTTCATGGAGTTAATACTTCTAGTTCCAATTTTCAATTGTCAACCATGATGAAAAAACAGTAATGTCCAGAAACAAAATGAATAACTAAGTAATACTCACAAAGACAGTCAATATTACTACATGAGGATAGAAGCAGATGGTTGTATCCATACTTGCATAGCCCCCTATAACTTGTTCAGCTTCTTAGTCAATTTCAAGTGACCAAATATTAGCTAGTGTGTATTAACCTCACCAATGGATACTAAATGGGTTTCTTCGGAAGTTTACATACCTGTGGAACGGTGGTAGAGGTATTGTCCCTGACCATTGAGGCAGCTGGATTTAGCAAAGGAGCCTTCAAAGATTCAATATCTCTCATTCTTTTCCTTTTGGACCACCATGAAGAGATCCAGGTTGTCGGTTGCTCTGGGACTTCCTCATTATCTTGGTCGGCTTGCTCTTCCACCAGTCCATCCATGTTGTGCAAAGCAGCGAGTTGTAGGAAAGAACGCCCAGCGTTTCCCAAGTCAATGGCACTGCACCTGAGGATCTCGTTTCCTACATTTTCAGCTTCTCGTGCGAGTGCGGCGGACTCAAGTATAAGCTCGCGTACGACATGAGCCTTTCCAGAAGCTTCTATTCGAGATAGTCGACGAGCAGCTTTGACGAGCTTGACCTTACTAGCAATCGAATCATCGGCTATCCCTGCGACTTGACTCGCAATCTGCACCAAGTGCGCAGCGCTAGTTGAAAGGGCTGCCTTTGAGAAAGCTTCTAACATTGTCGCGGTGTTCCCAGCAATGGCTGCAGAATTTTTGTAGGTGTCCTCCATCTCGTGTATCGCGTCCATTGCCTAGACAGAATAAAAAAAATTAGTGCAATTAACACAATCTGTTACTGAGGAAGAACATAATAATTTGAAAACATGGATGACTGAAGCAGCTATTTCAAAGAATAGTTGCACAGATTAAGCTTCTACAAAAAAATCATAGATGGAAATACATGTTCACAACATGTGGAAGTAGGGGCAGTCATAAACCATGCAACATACAGTCATAATACCAGCCCGGCGCGCCTTTTAGAGTTGTTATTTGTTTGAGAACTGGTTGCAATGTTTTGGATTACAAAAGGGCCAATCTGCTTATAGCCATTTACCATTTTCCATCAAAATATATATCAAACAAGTGAGTTGTGTATATCATGATGCATATTCATGGCCAATCTGCTTCTTATGTTTTCGGTAACGATTTACAAATGGTGTGCCTGGTGCCTGGGCTGAGAACTGCTTGTGTATATCAACGAAGAAATTCCTTCTGATCTTATCTTCGTTGCAAGTGCCTGGGCTGCGAAGAGGCTGAACGAGATCAGAAGGAATTTCTTCTGGAATGCGGGCGACGAGGGAAATGGGGGGAAACTGCTTGGTTAATTGGAAAGCTGTCTGTGCCCCCAAACAAAATGGTGGACTGGGTATAATGGATATAGGGAGTTTCGGAAGATCACTGAGGCTAAGATGGTTGTGGAACCAATGGCAAGAGGAGGACAAAACTTGGAAAGGGACAGCGGTACCCTTCGACAAAATCGATAGGCAGTTGTTTGCTGCTTGCACCACAATTACTCTCGGTGATGGTTTCATAGCTCGTTTTTGGAATGAAAAATGGCTGCTGGGACAAGCTCCTAAAGGATATTGCTACAAATATGTTCCGCTTAGTGCACCAGAAAAACCTGACAGTAAAAGAGGCACTGGCTGAAGGGAGATGGATGAAGGGACTACAACAAATTGAGTCTTCGGAGGACATTGATCAGTTCATAAATCTCTGGGATCTGATTCAATTTGTTCAGTTAACGACTGAAAGAGACGCATTAAATGGAATTTAACAGGTGATGGATACTACTCCCTCCATTCCAAAATATAGTGCGCCCGCGCTTCCCGAGGTCCAATTTTGACCATAAATTTAACCAACGAGACCAACTGCGGCGGGAGAAAAAATTATATAATTGAAAACTTTTTTCGAATACGAATTCACTGATATAATTTTTGCTCCCGCCGCAATCGGTCTTGATAGTTAAATTCACGTTCAAAGTTGAAGCACGGGGATAGAGGAAGCACTACATTGTGGAATGGAGGGAGTACTCAGCTAAGTCAGCGTACCATTTTCAGTTTCTTACACGGATCCCCCAACCGAGACTTAGCAAATTTGGCGTGTAAAGGCTGTACCGACCTGAAGTGTGACTTCATCTGCATGTTCGGAATGTGTTTGTGGCTTTGTGCCAAGACATATTATTACCATGTTCTTACAGTGAGATGGATAGCCAAAAACAATGATTCAAAAGCACACAAAAAATCAGTTCTCCATCGATGAAACCATCCATCGGTTACATGAGGTCACTGCTTAATTCCTTATCATACTTCCGTGGGGCTGTTCAGTGCAGATGCGATGTTTGAAACCCTAAGGTTTGCTTGGGGGAGCTGCTTGTACTGACCTCTACGACGAACGGCCTGAGAGAAGCGTGCTCGTTTGCTGACACCGATTCCCGCTCCACGCTGCTCGGGCTGGAGAAAAATACACATCCGCCGGAAAATCACACCGATGTCAGCATTCAGCAAGCGGATCCCATTCCCATCAACGAAACAATTCGTCGCATATTCTCACCTGCTTCTTCCGCCGTCCGCCTCGACGGAGAGGCTGGCCGGAGTCGACGCGCCCGCCCGTCGATTCCTCCCCGGGGAGGCGCGGCAGGCAGCCCGCCAGCGGTGGGAGCAGGCGCCCGGCTTCCCCGCGCGCGCGAGCGCGCGAGCGCGCGAGCGTCGGCCGACCCTCGCTCTCCTCCGCCTGGCTCGACGGAGAGCAGTACCCGCCGCCGGATTCGTCGCCGGAGAGGGGCGGCGGGCGGCCCGCCACCGGTGGGATTGGGGAGGGAAATGGGTGGGGCCTCACCCCTCTCTCTCTCCCCTCTCTTTCCCGCGGCGCGGCGCCCGAAATTTGAGCCGTTGCCCTTGTGCTACTGGAGCGGTCGCGCCCCTACTCCTACCTGAGACCGACGTGTGGGTCCGGCACTCCGGCTGCTGCACCGCGAGGTGCCTGCGCTGTGGGTAGAATATTTATGTGAAAATGCAATATCGCCCACCCCGAGCGGGCCCCATCTCTTCAAGTTGGCCTTCCTTTCGTCGGACACGTCACTTGGCTCGTGATCTGGCCGCATGATTTCAATCAGACGGCAGACGGGCGCGCAGAATGATGCTGCAGAAATTCTGATGGAAAAGATTGGGAGGCTTTGGTATATACAAACACGATGGCTGAGACGCGCAGGGTACCCTCTTTTGCAGGCATTTGAAATAGATTATTCCAGATTGTACTAAAATTGTATGTGTATTTGTTAAGCTATTTCCACTCTGATAAATAAAGTTTTTCTAAAAAGCGAAGACAAAAAATTTGCCTCGTTGATTAATTAAAAAGAGAATTGCCTAGTTAATTTATGAAAAAAGAAACAATACAATTAAACTGTAAGAAGACCAGTCAGAAAGCATGAAACCTCACGACTGCACATGCATCCCATTAAACTCTCGCAACACACAACATCCGCAATCGTTGACACTTGTACACACAATAGACCCCTGACGAGAACAACACCAAAACCATAGTGACGATCCAAATCGTGAGGCCGAGCTGAGCAAAATTTAGTTTTTTAAATAGGTCTGATGGTATTCTTATTAATAGTGTTCCGCCCTGTGTGGCAGAAACTGTAACGAATGATTGTATGGACATTTGTATTAATTAATTAATATATGGGTGGAGTTTTCAGAAGAAGAAAAAAAGAGAAGATCTTCCATCAAGCAGTTGTGGGAGCCTTTTCAATGGGGTCGTTCTTGCCTTTGCACTTGAGTGATTTCTCTTTTCGAACGCGTTCATCCAAGGGCAATCGTCCACCTTCTTGCTTTTGCCCCTAATTGTCATCCCAGTTAGGAGGCAAGCAATTGCACTTCCAAATTCAAGGCTAGCATTCTCCAAGATGACAATCACGCCGCAATTATTTTTTTGCGAAGAGAGTATCGGGATAAAGTTCGCTAGTGTGGGTGGAGTGGGGCGCATGAGGTCACCTGGAGTCCACCTTCATATGCTCGATTGACAGAGGCAAAGCAGAGCTCAGGCATAGCTCCAGAAGCTCATGCATGATCTGTAACACTGGAGCTACGACCACAGCAAACTGCCCCGAGGAGACAACCATATAGCTCCGCTCCCATATCCTCCACAGAGCCAACACTGGCCACACTAGGAAGACACGAACGTCGAAGTGGTGTCGGTTACTTCCATTCAATACACGAGAAGTCAAAACAGACACATAAAACTTCCATTCAATACACGATGCAACATCTTCAGCTGTCGGTTACTTCTGCGCTACTACAAGACCAGACTACGACCCTGTGACAAGGTGGAATCTTCAGTCTTTCGACGTTATCACCAGCAGGCCCAGTGCGCCAATCAGAAGGTACTGCAGCAACGAGCATCATATATAAGCATTTCAGCTATTGCACAAATTCAGCATTTCAGCTATACTGTACAGATTGCATGCATTTTCTTATTTCAATTTTAGATCTCCCATTAACCAGAGTAACGGACGGCAGTTTTATCAAAATCTGACGGACACCTTCCTTCATATGGAACAGAACAACCATCACAACCTCTGGGTTGGTCAGTATATACTTGATAAGACTAAGCATACCTTGATGATCGGCTTCTCAGTCATCACAATGGTAACCCACCCAACGTATGGAAGATAGCTGTTCACAGAACAAAATAGCAGTCAAGTAAGCGTAATAGCTTTTCACCAGCATGAAGGCAGGTAAGTGATGCAAGTGTTATGGATACGCACCCTACAGCCCGCCCCATGATGTGGTGCTGCTGAAGCCACAGCTGACCGTGCGCGTACAGCAGTCGGTCATCCCCAAAATTGTTGTCACCTAGAGGACAGTTTACCAGTTGAGATAGAACCATGTAGTGGCATCTACTGTGAATTATACATTGCTAGATGTTGATTATTATTGCAGGACTGCACAAACTGCTCTACCATTGAGCACTATAATCACTGAAGAAACTGATGGCACCGAAACTGAATATGATGGTTACCTTTTGTGAGGATGTCAACTTCAGCACTTTCCTGGCGTTCATGAACCTGCACAGAAAGTAGAGTAAATTCAGATGCAGCATTGAAAAAAAGAAACTTCAGATCTAACATAGATAGGATTATTCATGTGATGACTTCAAATACCAATTACCTTAATCACACGGTGAACAATTGGAATTTCACGGCCCTACATACATAACAATCAGACGTTAATTTATTGTTGTCAGGATCATGTAGAAGCACACAGTAAAGTTGAATACAGCACCAACAGCTGACGAATCCATGATTGAGCTACTGATTTATAGCTTAACAAGCAGTAGGACTTACATCAACATTAAAAACAACTATTTCTCCAGTACGGATGGGTTCTTTACTCATGCGCAAAAACAGGATATCACCCTGCAAAGCATATGATGAATCATTCAGCAACAGCAATGTAGAAAGATGATGGCACATTACAAGAAGCAAAATAGAATCTGAAGTGAAACTAAAACTAGATGATATGCACTGATACAACTTGCCAAATAGGGAACTTAGAGGAAAATGTTGAGATGAATGGGGCCAGTATCTTAATGGTGCATGACAAGACAATAAGGCAATCTTCCACCTTTCACAAATCAGTAGAATTTCTAGGAAACCATTGTATTCTTATAAATATACAGAAATGTCCATCTATGTATTGCACATGCAACTTCTGACATTTAGACTGATCACATTTAAGTGCATATTTTCATATAAGAAGTCAAGGAAACACTTATATGTCCACCTAAAATGCCTAATGATAAGAAAAGCATGCATACAAGTCTGATTCTCATATTGTGCAACTAGATAACTGACCCTTTTGAAGCCAGGCTCCATGCTACCAGAAAGAACTACGACCACCGGGGACTCACTCCCAGTCGCAACCATCAACCCCTTCCATATGATCAATGCCGACGTAACAATCATACCTGGCACAGCAAAAATTCAGAGCTCCAGTATAAAAGCACTGCTGCAATCAATCAATCAATCGGCATATCCTAAATATCATGAGCTAGTATCTAATCTGTCTGAAGCAAGGAACAACACTAGTAGCAACTGGCGACTAGAGTTTAAAAGGAAAAACATCACACTTGACTCATCATTCATGGAGGGCAGAAATTCCCCAGCTCACTTCTCTACGCTGGCACACCCAACTCAATCGCTCCTGTGCTGTTTACACCCCTGTTATTCTTCTTCAGGAAAGCCCACTTAACACAGCTCGCGGAACCAGATCAAGAGCCGAAGGCCCTCAGGGTCCACGAGGCTACTTCCCATCGAAAATCTACTGGGATCACACAGACGGCAAACTCCTGACCCTCCAACCCCGCCGATCTGAGCGGGAAATAGGTCGGAGAAACCTCTCTGAATGAGGAAGAAAAGCAGGAAACAGATACAGGGGGAGAGCGGGCATCACCCACCGAGGCTGATGATCTGCGCGAGCACCTGGCGGACCTGCATCGAGCGGATCGCCTCCACCTGGTCGCCGATGAACCCCATCTTGCCCGGCGCTCGGCGGAAGTGCTGTCCACTTTTCCGGTGAAGTCCCCGGGGATGCTCCGTATTTGCTTCCGGCCCGGCGAGGCTCGGTACACGTCGGCGGGCCTGTTCTGGTGCGTCGGATTGGGATCGGACGGCAGCCAGAGGGTTCTGGTGCGCTAGCTCCCAAACATTAGTAGGAACAAAACATCTGGATTCTTATGTGGCATGCAAACGATATATACATCTAAAGTATCCCAAAAATTTAAATTTATAACCATGACTCGAGGAATAAAAACCACCAACTTGGCTATGGTTACTATTGGGTATTCGGAGCCTATTTTGAATTAACCTGTGAAATTCATATACTATCCTAGGGAAGCAAATACTTTGGCACACTTTACAGCTAGATATGCGTATGATATGCAGTTAGAGTTCTCCTGGGAGGATAAGCCTCCAGGTTTTTTTTATTACCGCATGTAATGAAGGATTTAACCTTTTCAATTATGCAATAAAGTGCCAATAGATTTTTAAAAAAACATTCATAGTAAGATTTATCCTTTTCTCCTCGAGTTTTCTGGGTTGACACATGTAGTCTCACTGCTATAAGCATGGAGAAAAGCCAAGACATCAAATATGAAACTAGAAGTGATGTATACAGAAGACTCTAATATTATCATGCTCTTTGATGTTTTTTCCTAATATATCCAATTTTTGTAGTCTAAATTGTTCATAACAATATTGATAGGAGCCTATGCAAGTCAACCAGCATCACTATAGTCTTGAGATTGTGAGTTTTTCTCTTGTGCACTGTTTGCTTTCAGACTCCGCTCATGGTTATGTCAGCGAGGTCATCTCCTCTGTGCTTTGTTAGTGTCATGCTACACCTTCGATCTCATAGTCCTGACCCCTCCACCCCCACATGTTCAGTGCTGAGGTCCCCCTCCATCCCTATGACTTCTTCATCGCCACCACTCTATTGTTCCCATGACTCCAAACATATGCAGAAAACTAGCAAAGCTGTTGATACACATGTGCTAATGTTTTTACAAACATTGCATCTTTTTTCGTCTGGTTCAGTGAGACGACTACACTACCTCTTTTGTTTTCGAAAAAAGGAGTAAACTAACTCTTTGGTTATATTGTGTGCGTATAAGGATCTGTTGAATCAGGAGATAAATAATTTCGGTGATAGGGTGCTTACTGGTGCAAGCTTGACTCTTAGGGGGTAAGGGAGCAGTGGGCAGCTGCACTGCTCCCGGAAACCAAGGGGACCATCAGGTAGTATGTGCTATGTAGTAATAGGGCTCCCTGAACTTGAAGCAATGTTGCGTTATGTGTGGTGCCGCATCGGCATGACCCATTGGTTTTCCTTTCTTATTTGTCTCTAGTAATATTGTTTTTGAATGTCCCTAGGTACAGGGCGTGAGCCAGAAGTCCAGCTCACCATTCGGGGCAACGTAATTACCAACTTCTCAGAGCTCATGAATGTTCCTTTGTTCTCTTGTGTCTGTCTTTCCCAACATGATACTCCCTACGTTTGAAAATAATTAAAAGCCTAAGTTTGTCATAAGTCAAACTTCTTTAAGTTTGACCAACTCTATAACAAATATGCAAAAATATGCAACATCAAATAGACATACTATGAATATATAATTTATATTGAATCTCATGAGACTAATTTTGGTGTTCTAGATGTTAATTTTTTTTCCTATAAACGACTTAGCAATTCTAGAGCTTCAATTTTTATGGAACGGAGGAGTATCATTTTAAGGGAAATCAGTAAAATTCTAAATTACCGTCAAAGAAGATTAGGCGGCATAATATGAATCTACGGAATTTGTAAATTCCAAACGTCCGGAATTAGGCAATAGATCCGAACGATTTGATTGCCTTTCGAACCTGATTTCCCGCGTGATAATTTCTCGCTCGCTCGCAGCCCGATCCGCTTCTCGCGTGGGCCCAACCGCCCGTTTTGCTTCTTGCGCGTGAAAAGATATCGCAGAGAAAAAAGTGTGCAAGTAGGAATTCGGACACACGAGCTGCTCCACCTGGGCTAAGTCTGCCTTTTGTGTTTTAGATACAGGTTAGCTGATATTTATACTTTATTGGAAAGTGGGAAAACAACAATGCTTTCCACCATGAAAAGAATCATCTGGACCAAGTTTTTTAAGGAACGATTTGCTGTGTTTGTACTTGTCTCTTTTTGTACAGATGATCAATTTTCAGGGAAATAAATGTTTCGCCTCCTAGACTTACATAACTTCTTTTTGTAAATATGATGATAATTTACGCACAGCTAGACTGATAACTTAGGTACAAATATTGTGATAACTTTGAATGAGGGAGGGGGTGTTGTTAAAATAGAGCTGATAACTCATGTGTATTAACATGGTGATATACGCCCATCAGAGCTGATAACTAACTTAGCCCAAGCGTGGTAACTATTTTTGACTCATGGAAAAAATTTATTGAAAAAACCCGTGACTCATGTGTACTAGCACGGTAATATATGCACAACAGAGCTGATAATTTATTTAATCCGGACGTGGTAACTATTTGACTCGGGAAAAAGTTATTAAAAAACACCCTCGATAACTCATGTGTACTAGCTTCACATGTGGGCTATGGACGAGACGTAGAGCTAGTCTAGGGTACGGTGGTGAGGGTGCTACGTAGCACCCTCAGTGGTGTTGGTGTGTTGTAAAAACCCCGGTGGAGGGTCCTTGTACCCCTTTCTTCTTTAATACAAAATACGCATGCTATGCGTATTCGAGAAAAAACTCATGTGTACTAGCATGATAATCTAAGCATAGAAGAGCCGATAACTTACTTAGCCAAGGTATGGTAACTTTTTGATCTAGAAAAAAGTTGTTAAAAAACACCATGATAGCTCACGTGTAAATAAGATGGTAATATTCGCACAACAAAGCTGATGAATTACTTAACCCAAGCCTGGTAACTTTTTGACCATAAAAACTCATCAGGGATATACCAACATGGGACCTACTTTCGAATTTTTCATCGCATCAGATTTTTTATGTTGAACGACTTTTTGATCATACCAACGGTTTTGAGGTAAAAAAACTGAGTTTCGAAATAGCAGAATGTGGGACGGCATTAGCTTTTTATGTCCTCTAGCGTATGCATGCATGTGGGGAGAAGGTAAGAGAAATCATTTTTATGCCTTGGTAATTTTTGTGAAAACAAGCTGATAACTTATGTACCACAGATGTGATAATTTGCGTAGTATAGGCATGGTAACTTCTTGTCCGAAAAAAAGTCATCGGAATATACCAGGGGAAATTTTGTTAAAAAATACCTTCCAATAATTGATGTGTAAACAACATAATAATACACGCACATGAGAGTTGATAACTCATATACAAATATCGTGGTAATTTCTTGACCGAGGAAATGAAAATTGTTGGAAAATATACCCCGATAACTTTTGTGCAACATAGTAATATACACAACAAAGTTGATAACTCACTACAAACATCGTAATCATTTTTTGACTCTGGGATAAAAGTTTGCTGAAAACATACCCCGAAATTTTTTGTGTAAATGACATGGTAACTTATGTATGACAGACGTGATAATTTACGTAGTCCAGATGTGGTAATTTTTGATCAAAAAGAGTCATCAGAACATATCAACATAAGATCTAGTTTCGAAAATCTCGCCGAGACGATTTTTTTTGTCAAGACAGTTTTTCAATCGAAGTGATGGTTTGAGCTAGAAAACATTTTGAAGTTTGAAAAAATAAATAATCTAGGATGACATCAATTTTTCGTCCTTTAGTGCATATATGCATGTAATTAGAGGGGGGAGTGCACGTAAAAGAAAAATTGGTCATTCTAATACATACATGTATGTAATTAAAGTGAAGTAATGGTCGTTCTTGTCTATTGCTAAAATTCGAACGTTTGGTAGTTATAAAAGTCCGTGAATCTAATATGTCAGCTGAATTCTTATAGCCTGTCCAGAGAATTAAAGAATATGTGCGGTTGACTTGAAAGCTTGACTCCTTCAACTTTTAGCACACAAAGATGCACGCTGTCTGCACCAAGCAAAACAAAATGGGCGTCCTGATCCAAGCAGAGCTTGACTCCTTCAGCTTTTACAGCCGTGTAAATTTTGGCCCATCTTGCCGTGCTCTGCCAAATGAGCTCTCCACAAGTCAAACTAGTTGTCTCTCTTTTTTTTTGAAAAGGAGGCTCACCTCGGCCCCTGCATCTGAAAGATGCATGCGGCTAGGGTGTGCATAAAGTCATCGATATGGATTTTGTTCTGCTGCATCATCATGGTGTATTCTTGACCAAAATAGGAGCATTTATCTTTCAGACATATACTCCCTCCGTTTCCAAATATAAGTCTTTTTAGATATTCCAACAAGTGACTACATACGAAGTAAAATAAGTGAATCTATACTTTAAAATATGTCTACATACATTCATATGTTGTAGTCCATTTAAAATGTCTAAAAAGACTTATATTTAGGAACGGAGGGAGTACCATGCATGACTGGTACATTAATTAAGATAGCTCAAGTCACAATGATAATTCTTTTGGGCATGCAGAGGTCATACTGTAATGCCATAGAGTTGTATTGAAGCGAGGTGCAAATATACTCTTATTGTTTTTCCCAACACAAATTGGATTTCAATTTGATATTTCAAACGGATACTTGATGCATAAATTCAGTTTTTTAAGACACTAGTTTGCCAGGTAAAGTACCCCCCCAAAAAAACATAAGGACACTACATGATGCAACTCGTCTTGTCTTAATATAATGGTACAAAGAGAAAACGTACTATTTGAAGATGTGATGACATAAAACCCCTCAAACATACAGTGATCCGATTTTAGCAACCATCGCCTTATATATTACTTCAAATGAGCTGAGGACATACAATACAATAAGAAGTCTGTGTGAATCTGCACACCCCCAATGAACTGAATGAACACAACAGAAAGGGATTCGAACCGGTGCTTATGTGCAGACCCAGAGTTCAATA